GCTGGATAGAATGCTATGGTGTGAAACTAGAATTGGAGAGATCAGATTGACCTTATAGGGTTTAATATGTGTAAAAACATTGAAATCTAGATGTTATACATCAACATACTGTTCCCAAGCCCCATTCTTTCTGTCCCACTCCTGACCCATCTGCTATCTGTAGTTATTCCTTTAGTTTCTTAGTTTCTACCTATTACTTCTTGTGTAGCATTTATATACATACTTCCTAACTGGGTTCTCTGACATCATTTACAAGCCTTGTAAGCAATGAATACATCTAAAGTTTCAAAATGAGTAACAACAATAATGGATTATAACTCAGAGAGCAAACAAGAATCCATGAGTCCATAATGATATAAATGAATCAACGGAAAACAAATGAGTGGGCAATAAGGGAAAGTTCCTTCTTACAGGAGAATACAACTAATAATGCAGAAGAAATGCTAGAATTAGAAAATCAGCATTTGGCCACCACATTTACAATAACTTGGTCACACAAGAATCATCAGTGGAAGTTAAATATAGTGGGTGAAATTTTAATAAGAAAAAGTTATGTTTGCATAGTCTCAAAATGTCTACCCAAACGATACCTATTAATGTCAAGGTTAAAATAGGAACTTTACAGTAGAGAACCTGGCAGGCACCACCCTAGCCAATTGATCAAGGATAAAAACACTTTAATTGGAAAAATTGATATCATGTGCCTTCTGATAATATGCACTGTGGTAAATTTGCCAAAAATCTAAACCTGAAGTGCACATGCATACACACCTACAAACATACAGAAGATAAACATAGTAAAATGTTAACCATTGGGGAACCTAGGTGATGCCTGTTCAGGAATTCTTTATATCATGTGTACAACTCAACTATATCTTTAGAATCAATTTTAAAAAGAGTAGAAAAATCCTTTGTCCCAGCTGGAACAATGCCCAAGAAGGAATGAGTCCAGGTCATGGGTGGCATCAGGGACTCCATCCCCTGGGACCCCAGAACCTCTGGCTCTTGGACACGCAGCTCCCCAAAGGACAGTGAGAAATTAGCCAGAAGCTTGGGGACTCAGTTTCAGTCCTCTCATTAGTAACTAAGTGTTACCTTTGACTCACTTCCCTGGAGCTGGTTAAGGAACGTGAACGTCTGTAGAAGTACCAGGGCCACAGACAGTTCTATTTGTCTGGATCCTGAGTCTCCTGAAGAGAAGCTGAGGAGTTGGGCAGCAGCCTGGAGCAGAAGGTGANAATATGTATAAATACATTGAAATCTTTATGTTATACATCAACATACCGTTCCCTCATTCTTTCTGTCCCACTCCTGACCCACCTCCTATGGGTAGTCATTCCTTTAGTTTCTTAGTTTCTACATTTTACTTCTTGCATTATATATATATATATATATATATATATATATATATATATATATATATATATTTCCTAATTTTATTCGCTGACGTCATTTAGAAGCCTAGTAAGCAATGACTACATCTAAAGTTTCGAAATGAGTAACAACGGTAATGGATTATAACTCAGAGAGCAAATAAGAATCCATGTGTCCATAATGATATACATGAATCAATGGAAAACAAATGAGTGGGCAATAAGGGTAAGTTGTTTCTTACAGGAAAATACAACTAATAATGTAGAAGAAATGCTAGAATTAGAAAATCAGCATTTGGCCACCACATTTACAATAACTTGGTCACACAAGAGTCACCAGTGGAAGTTAAATCTAGTGGATGAAATTTTAATAAGAAAAAGTTATGTTTGCATAGTCTCAAAATGTCTACCCAAATGATACCTATTAATGTCAAGGTTAAAAGAGGATCTTTACAGTAGAGAACCTGGCAGGCACCACCCTAGCCAATTGATCAAGGATAAAAACACTAGTAATTGGAAAAACTGATATCATGTGCCTTCTGATAATATGCACTGTGGTATTTCTGCCAAATATCTAAGCCTGAAGTGCACATGCATACACACCTACAAACATAAAGAAGTAAACATAGTAAAATGTTAACCATTGGGGAATCTGGGTGATGCCTGTTCAGGAATTCTTTATATCATGTGTACAACTCAACTATATCTTTAGAATCAGTTCCAAATAAAACATTGAAAAATCCTTTGTCCCAGCTGGAACAATGCCCAAGAAGAAAGGAGTCCAGGTCACGGGTGGCATCAGGGACACCATCCCCTGGGACCCCATACCCTCTGGCTCTTGGACACGCNTCGTTTGTGTGTGTGTGTTTGTACTATATGCTTGAGTACATGTCATTAGGTGTACATGTGTGTACTAGGTATCTAACCCACAGCCTGACTCTTTTCCTGAGTTTGATCCAATCTTGGCCCTATTTTAACCTGTGGAGACCAAGTTATCATCCTTCTAGCGTGCGATAGGGACTCCTGACTCACACCCGTGATGATAAATTTCCGCATCACAGCTGAGCGATGAGAGCTGAGCCTCTTGAGGGAGAGTGTTGTCTTGCTGCTGGAGAAGAGGCCCAACCTCACCAGGAACCGAGCTCAGACAGGGCTCAGCAGAAGGTGAACTCATGATGATGAGCACAGGTCAGAGGAGCTGGAAATCTGCACTTGGCGGTGGATCTGCCTGTGTGCTTGTGGGTGGTGTATGAGACTCTGTGTTCATGAGTGTGTGTGTGTGTGTGTGTGTGTGTCTGTGTGTACTGAATGCTTGAGTCCATGTCATTAAGTGGCTGCATGTACATGTGTGTGCTAGGTATCTAACCCACAGCCTGACTCTTTTCCTGAGTTTGATCCAATCTTGGCCCTATTTTAAAGTGTGGAGACCAAGTTATCATCCTCCTAGCGTGCGATAGGGACTCCTGACTCACACCAGTGATGATAAATTTCCGCATCACAGCTGAGCGATGAGAGCTGAGCCTCGGGAGGGAGAGTGTTGTCTTGCTGCTGGAGAAGAGGCCCAACCTCACCAGGAACCGAGCTCAGAGAGGGCTCAGCAGCATGTGCTAGGGCACGTGTGAGCTGTGTCTGTGGGTGACAAACCTGTGTGTGAGAGCAGGAATGTGCATTGTTTTCTGCTGTCTGTGTGTATGTTACTGTGTGTACATTACCACGTGTAAGAGGTGTTAGTGGTGGTTTAGTGACTGCCTGTGACTGAACAGGCTAAACTGCCCCATGCCTACTCTCTTCCCGGGTAAGGGATGGGTCAGAGGGAACTCTGTAATGGGAGGTCATGTGCTGTTGGTATAGTGACTGTGGCGGGGTGCGCATGTGTGCTTTGGGGCATCTGAGTTGCATCCATGGCCTCAAGTGTTTTCTGAAGTGTCCTCCTTTCGGGGCAACATTGGCTGAAACAACCAAACTCTGTGCAACTCGCTGTTTCCTGAAACGGATCTGCTATCACTTTTCATGTACCTGAGTGTGACTGAGTCACTCAGAATTTAGCAACCTTTTACTTTCATTAAACATCCCCGCAAAATAAATAAAGAAAATGACAACAACAAAACTCCAAGCATCATGCTATGTGAAGTTATTGGGCAGAATCACCATCAAATAGCAGTGAGACCTTGGGAAAGTCACTTAACTCCTTGGCCTCAGTTTCCACATATAAAATGGAATTACACTTACCTTGTGCATCTTACAGTGGCCCTTGGTAAGTATTTAGTGTATAAATAGAAGTTTATGTATTTGAGCATTTTTTTGTCAGTTGGAAAGTTTCTAAATATGAAAGATTGAAAAAAGTCAAGGAGGGGACTAGGAAAATTTTGGACGTGTTATAGTCCTCACAAGTCTGAAATGATGTATTGTGTTTGGCTCCCCGTAAGCAACAGAAGGGAGGTTTCATGTGCAGTGGTTAAGAGCATGGGCTCTGATCACTCAGACATGCTCGACTGAACCCCATGGAATAGGTAATACTTGGTAATTTTTGATCTATAAAAATGGTAACACATAAATCAATGCATATATATTATGTATCACATATATTATAGATACAGATATACGTGTGTGTTGTGAGTGTGTGTGTGTGTGTGTGTGTGCTCCACTCTGTCCCCTACTGTATTGTTGTGTGCCTGTGAAATTTGTATAATTTCTGTTTTCATATATTAACATTAAAATAGCAGAAAGAACACAAATTCTTAGTGCAGCTGTGAAGAGGTTTTAAATCTGAGAATGTAAGGCTGATGTGTGGAGTTAGTTAGAAAACATAGATAAAGTCCTTAACCCAGGTCCCAACTGTTCACCAAATTGCTCAGCATTCGTATGAAACATAGTTTGAGGACTGTTCTGCTTTGGGCGCTATTCTGGCACCAAGTGCTTTTATTGGCCACCCATTTTAGAGTGTCCATGAGTTTACAGCTGTTGGTCACTGGGACCCAGCAGGTTCACAGGAGCATGACAATGACTCACGCAGCCTCAACACTGAAATCTCACGGTATTTTAAGGAAAAAACAATGATACCAGTTTGCTAAGGCCTCATCCACTATTTCTGCCACAGAGAACTATTATGGTTTGGCTCTGGCCTGGGAAGAGCTTATCTCTCTGCACATCATTTTCTACACTCACAGAGGACAGGGAGCTTCCTTTCCTGTTCACTGCTGCATCTCAGTCCTTGTCGAGGTCCCGACACAGACTCGATGTTCCATAAATAATGGCTGATGAATCAGTGAACACCCTCTTGCTTCTGTGCCATGACGTCTTATTGGCTGATTAGGGGTGAGATGTTTTCCTGGAGTCAGATAGGGATGGAGCAAAGGTGCCTGCATCCACAGGTTGAGAAATTAACAGGAGTGTACTTCAAAGTTCATTGTTTTCCCAGAGCAGGACAAGACGAGATGTGATGGTCCTGGTCATCCTTTCTAGGTTCCTGAGATTCCCAAACCTCCTTCATCCCCAGAAGACACAAGGGCAGCATGAGGTCTGAGAACCAGAGCGGCGTGTCCCAGTTCCTCCTGCGGGGGCTCCCCATCCGGCCCGAGCAGCAGGGATCATTCTTCGCCCTGTTCCTGGGCATGTACCTGACCACGGTGCTGGGGAACCTGCTCCTCATCCTGCTCATCAGGCTGGACGCTCGCCTGCACACGCCCATGTACTT